TGCTGAAAAGCCTTCAGACCCAGAGTCTGTACTGTGGTCTTTGAGGTTGTGTGACTTGTCCCTGCCTGACCTCTGCCCATGTCACTGATTGTCCCCTTCCGGTTTCTCACACTGGCCTTTGTTGTTGCTGGAATTCTACCTCACCCTGCCCCACTCTGCCCCTGATCATTTTAATTACTTTTTCCTGCTTTAATTTTCTTCCCAGCACCCTACGTAGTGACTAGCTTGTAAGTATCAGAGGACAGGGACTTCACCTGTCTCAGTCCTTCCTTCCATTGCCAGCACTAGAACAATGCCTGGCACATAGCATTTGCTTTATGTGTTTGTTGAGTAGATGAATGAATGAAACAAACTATAATTGCCAGTTCTAATACCTTTCATGCTTTCAAGTAGATACAATAAAGAGCTTGCATAAATATCATCAAAGTCATGTTAAATTCCTTTAAGACCACTGATAGTTTCTCTGGGGTTTTATTAAAATGGCACAGTGGAAGAGAGCGGTGAACTGGGACTGAAAACTTTGGGTATTCATTCAGTTTCTTCACTGGCTTCCCTGAGCCTCTGCTTTCCCACAGGCAAGGCTAGGTATCTCTGGAACCCTATGGCTCTAAGGAGCTACCCAGCTGAGGGAAGAGTTGCAAAAGGGTTTGACTATCAGGAGACCTGAGTGTCTCCACTGTAATTAGAGTAGTTTTATTTATATTTTCTTTATATATCGGGTTTCATATGAAATTTGATTTGAAAAAAGGATCTGTTTTTAACAAGTTTTAAAGCACTGAATTGGAAGAGTACAAAGGTTATTTTTTAGTTCAATTATTCTGATGGCTTAGTTAAAGGATATCATTTCTTCATCATTCTCCACTCTCTTCCCTCCCCCCCCAAGAAAAAAACCATTGAATTTTTTTTTGAAATGTGCTACGTGAAATTATGTGGATAAACTGCAGAATTATCATCACCAAGACTATGAACTGCGTGCAGAAAAAGACCTGGTCTATATGGTCAGTGCTGATGTACCTGCCACTTAGCCCAGTGCCTGATCCAGAGCTTGCTCCGTACATGCCTGTTAGATGGGGAGTGGGTGGGTATTTAAAGAGAGGAAAAACTCATTTCTAAATGACAGTACAGTACGTAGTAATAATGGGTGGAAACTCCATGGAATTTCTGTAAGGGAATTTTTTTTTCAAGATATTTATTGGATACACAAATTGCAGTAGATCGTGTTTAAACATTGTTGACTAAAGAAACCAATTTATTGCCCTTTCCTTCAGTTCCCTGTGAGTTTTTTATATTTATTATTTAAAATATAAAACTGAAAGTATCCAAATGATTTTCTTTTTAAAGTTCTTTGTCTCTTTTTGCATTTAAATTAGGATCCTTGTAAAATATTAACTTTCAGATTACTTTCTCTTTTTGTCAGAAAATTGTACTGTGGAAAGTACTTAAGATGATAATAATAATCTATTTTGGGATGACTTTAAGACCACAGTTGGTGACTTTTAAATTTCTGCTTCAGGTTGATAGAAGAAGTTTTCTTGAGATTTTAAAACCATTTTAGTTGCAGTAGGTTAAAAAAGTGATGGAATATTTAGACACTGAGCTGCTGACTTGCAGGGTTAGGTTAGGAATAGAAATGAGATCAATTTTACCTTTTAAAAAAGGCATGCAACAATATGTCCTACCAAGATATAAGAAGCTTATGTTATACAATTGTATAAACCTTACCCATAAGCTCACAAAATATTCCCACCCATATATTGCCTAGTATTTTTAGTTTGGCATCTTTTAGTATATCGGTCTCTCTAAAAAAATGATTCTCATCAGCCATTACATTTTTTTGGTATAAAAAAATGTTTATGTGTGTATACAGTACATGTATATAAAGTGATTATTAATGTAACTCTCCTACTGAATTCTAATTATTCATATATTTATTTTACTGGTGAATTTTTCTTTCCCTTTAGGTAAAGAAGATGAATATCCGAAGAAACCTTTAGGGCAGCTTCCACCTGAATTTCAGTCTGGTGGCACTCTTCACCTGAGCAACGGACAAAGAAGTATTGGCAGGCCAAGTCCCCACATAAGCAGCAGAAGAGAAAGTGGATCATCGCCCCACAAAAAACATGAGCACTCCCCTCACCATCAAAGCAGGACTGGCACACCAGAAAGAATAAGACATCCCCGCCGGAAGTCAGTGGATGAGGGCAACGCGAAACTGAAAGATGAGGCAGATTTTCAAAGAAAATTTTCATCAGGTCCACAAGACAATGCCAGGCAGTATAATCACGCAGCCGCTAACCAGAATAGCAATGCCACATCAAATGTCAAAAAGGAATTTGTGCCCAAGTGGAATAAACCGTCAGAAATGTCGGCAATGGAGAAAACCGCCAAATATGCCATCGATGGCAAAAATAGATCAGTGCACCCCACATTTACAGTCACCACCTCAAGCTCTGCTGATACTCGGATGTCACATGTGAGGCAAAAGATTAAGGTTTTAGATGCGGATGATGGAAAGCGTGGCTCGAATGCATCGCAGTATGACAACGTGCCTGGAACCGAGCATGAAAATGGAGCTTCTGTTGAAGAAGCGCTAGAAAGGGCTAATGCTCAAAATCCCAGGAATGACCTTTAACCCAACACTCCAAG